TAATTTTATTTATTCTTCTTATTATTATATTTATATTATTATTTATATCATTATTAATTATTGAATTATGATTAGTTGCTCTCTAAAGATATGAATTAAGTTAATTAATTCTGTTCAATCCATATGTATTTTATTTATAGATTATTATTAATTTATTCATATTTCATGTTCATTTCTTTTTTATAAATATGACCTGTCTGTTCTGTAAAATAACTTCAGATCTGAATACTTTTAAAAAATAAAAATAATCATAAGTTATAAAATTAAAACTTATTCATATCATATTTTATCTTATTTACAAATATTAACAAAATAATCTTACACTTAATTAGAAAAGTATTTAAATATTGTGATATTTCAGTAAATATGGATGAAATAAAAGATAAATTAGTTTTTAATTATAAGAATTTAATAGAAGAAAATAGTAAAAAAGCTTTGATAATTAATTCTATTAATAGAGAGATATATGATAAAGTAAAAGATTATGAAAATATTTGAACAAGTGAAAAATAATTAGAAATATTAGATAAATAAAATTTTGTTATTATATTCAGGTATTTTTTATTATATAGAAGTATAATACTTTAAACTATACTATATATAATACTTGGATATAAATCAAAAATTAAACTCAAAAATTAATATAAAATATAAATTATAGAAAGATATACTAGTCAGCAGTTTATAGTATATAATAAATATTATATACAAGATTTTATATATACTATAAATTGTTAACTAGTATATTCTCCTATAATTTATATCTTATATTAATTTTTGAGTTTAATTTTTGATTTATATCTAAGTATTATATATAGTATAGTTCAAAAAATTATATCTTTATATAATGAGAAATATTTGAATACAATAACAAAATTTTATTTATCTAATATTTCTAATTATTTTTTACTTGTCTAATCATTTTCATAATCTTCTACTTCATTATATATCTCTCCATTAATAGAATTAATTTTCAAAGCTTCTTCACTATTTTTTCTATCAAATGCTTATAATAAAAAACTAATTTATCTTCTGTTCCATTCATATTTACTGAAATATTACAATATTTAAATACTTTTTTAATTAAGTTAAAATTAATATTATCTCATGATTTTTTAATTCATTATGCAATAGTTACATATGATAGTTTTTGAATACATCTAGCTGGTATTAATTGATGAAGTTTATTACCATTCATTCATATAACAATCATGTACCTAATAAATTAAAATTTTAATAAATATATTTTATATAATGATGATATAATAAAAAAAATTAATTTATTTTTTGTTTGAAACTTTTGTTAATAGCAACATCTAGTGATTAAAGTTTACTAGTTAATCTGTCTGGAATAACTGCAAGATAAGTATTATTTTCTTTAAAATTTCATTTAACTAATTCAACTAAATGATCTCAAAATGAATCTAAAACAAGAAAAGATTTTGAAGTTCTCATCTCATTACATTTGATCCAAATAGTATCAATTTAATGATTCATCTCTTATTTATTATATCATCCTTTCTCATTAGCTCAGATAATAACTCCTTGAGAAAAGTTTTCATGTGAGATATTTTTAGTTTGAAGATGCATGTAGAAGGAAGTTTTGTACTATCAGCAAGATATCCAAGAATTATGGTAAAACAAGCTTTTTTATGTCCTGTTGTTCAAATACTAACTGTCTTGGCACCATGTTGTTCAAGAGTTGTTGAACAAGAAAGATCAAAATATAATGGTGTTTCATCCATATTTCCAATATATTTTATTGGAAACTCATTTTGGTGACATTTGAGTAAAATAAAGCTTAAAAATTTACTTTGTTTTTTGATAAGATTTTCAGGAAGATATTGCATGACAGTTGTATGATGACAATTTGAAAGATCATGGCAATGTAAAAATCCACTTAACCATCAATCAGAGAATTTGAAATTGGTAATATTAGGATAAAGGTTTTTTAAATTCATCAGTTTGAGAAATTAATTTTGCTTTTCAGATCACCATATTTCGCGCTACAGCATTTTGCCTGTCATGTAGTTCCACAACCCACCCAACAAGTTTTTGTTCAAGTAATGAATATTGCACTTGGCGACCATGGTTGAGTGTTAAAGTGTAAGATGCAGTCTCAAATAGTTCTTTTTTTTTACTTCTCCACTCACGAACTTGCTTGGGTTCAATACCAAATCGTTTAGCTGTTCCTCGCACATTGTTGACGTGTTCCAAGTAATGAATAACCATGAGTTTTTCATGTGCACACTAACTGCGACAGATTTTTTTTGTAGCGCGAGATCGTTTTAGGGTTTGTTTCTGTATGGAGACATTTTTTTGAAATTTGAAGTCAAAAATTTTACGCGTCAAATATGAATAAAAGTGAAAAATTGAAAATTGCGTCAATGCAATATACGCGATAAAAAAATGTGTTTGATCGAAGTACAAACACGCAGATCACATTTACATTTGCAATGCTCCTCAGAAAAATAAATCTCTTTGGGGATACAACTCACGGAATGTACCCCCCCACCAATACAAAATATCCCCCCCTACTTGAGTACCCCGGGTACTAAAATGGACATTGGAAATACCCGAATACATCGGTCAGCAGTTTACGGTATATGTATGTTAAAAATCAAATAATCAGATCAAACTAGAATCAAAGAATACGTAGAACTTTGAATGCCAAAGCAGTAAAGTCTTCGATTTTGTTAAGAACAAAGAGATGAAGCTATCGATTTGTTAAGACACAAAAGAAATAAAACTGAAGCGTTGTTATGTAAGCATTAAAAATAATTTAATGATTTTTATTTATTTTTTTCTTCAAACCACACATTGACTTGTCTCCTGACCTTCGGGAGTTATCCTTTATATGCATTTTTGTTATTATATAACTTTCTATAGATCGTAAGTTTCCACAAAATTCGCGGATTATGCTTTGAAACAAAAGTATAATAATAAAATTAAATGTAAATAATGTAAATATAAGAATAAAATAAAGTAGAATTATTATGTACGATACAAAATGCGAATTTTGATATGAATTTTGTAAAAATCTATGAATCAAAGAAATAACGTATGATACAGATGTTTCTAATGATAATCACATTCTTGGAGCGCAAAGAATTCCTGTAAGAGATTCTTATTATTGAGGAAGGCGGTGTTGATGTAGAAATAATTTTTGTAAAAATTTTGCGAAGCGGCATCAATTTTTTTAATACAAGTACATGTATAAAGTATGGCATTTGTTCAGGTGATACAGGAATGTGTGCATCTATTTTGGTAATTCCGATAATCTAACATAGAACTTCCGTGCTGTTCCAACAATTAGCCTTACGCTTTCGGTTTTACGAGACTCTTTGAACTGTTTATACAATAGCCTTTTGTTCTTTTTTTTTGATCATATAATTTATCAAACTTGTGTTTATTAATTATACGCGAAGATTATAATAACAATAATGTTTCCTCAAATTACATGTACATGTATACATCTACATAAACGCTGTCAGAGCTAAAGCCAAAACACCAACAGTACTAGCAGCTAAAAAGAATGATCCAAAGACTCGTCTTAACAATGATGACGATGAGAAATTAGGTTTCTTGTATAATAAAATCCAACTTATTAATCGAATTTTTGAATCTGTGTACGGCGGGTATCGAGTCTCTAACACTTTTTCGAGGTAGAAAGGGTTTTTCAATACGCTGCGTTCGTGTGAAAATGTTTCAAAGGATTTTTTGCCATGGTAACTTCCCATGCCGGAGTTTCCTTTACCGCCGAATGGAAGAGTCGTCACTATATAATTACAAATTTAATTGGTAACCAGAAGTGATTAATTATAAAATAAGATAAAATATTTTACCTGCGCCATGAATCATGCAATCATTTATACATGCACCGCCAGATTGAACTCTGTCGAGTACTATAAATAAATTTAGGGTTATACATAAGTATTTACTTGGTTCAAACCAAAAATGAAAATATTAAAAACAGACTCACTATATTCAATGGTATCATTATTCTTGCTGAATGGATAAAGAGCCAATGGCACTTCCCCACGATTCACAAATTCAATAGCTTCATCGATACTATCAACAACCACAATTGGCAGAATAGGTCCAAATATTTCACTTTCCATCAATGTGTCATCTTTCGGTACATCAGCGACAATAGTTGGTGCAATGAATAAATCATTTCGATCTGTATCACCACCAGCCACTATTCGTCCTTTCGTTCCATTTAGAAGAGTTTGAATGCGATCAAAGTGTCGTTGATTGATGATTCGGGCATATGAGTTATTTTTTTGGATTTCTGTACCATACATCTCGGCCAAAACTTTGGGAAAAGCTTCTATCAATGCTGACTGAACTGAACGTTCGCAAAGTATATAATCGGGGGCTATGCATGTCTATTTTTTTTTAAAAAAAAAAGAATGCATAAACTATTCAAGTTCAAAAGTATCCATTAATTTTTAGGTGACAAACCTGTCCACAATTATAAGCTTTAGACCATAAAATACGCCTAGCGGTAATCATTATATCCACATCTTTCGACATAATAGCTGGACTCTTGCCGCCGAGTTCTAAAGTCACAGGTGTTAAATGTTTGGCTGCGGCAGTCATGATAATTTTTCCGACAGCTGATGAACCAGTATAGAAAATATGATCGAATCGTTGTTCTAATAACTTAGTCATTTCCGTTGGTCCACCTTGAATGATTCGATAAGCATTTTGATCGAGGTATTTCGGGAAGAGCTCGGCTAATAAGCTAGCGGAGTGAGATGCAACTTCGGATGGTTTGCAAATTACAGTGCATCCAGCGGCTATAGCACCTATAAAAGGTGAGAGAAGTACAAGCATTGGATAATTCCATGTGCCAATAATCAAAACAATTCCTATTTAACAAAAAAAAAAGAAAAAAATTTAATCATTTTTCAATAAACGATATTATATCACCAAACGCTAATTACCCTTGGGATCTTTTCTTATATAGGATTGATTCATTTTAAGCGATAATGGCATTGTCACTTTCTCAGGCTTTACCCAATCATCTAAATTGTTAACAATCTCGGCGATTTCTTGTTTTAATATCATCAATTCTCCAACAAGAGATTCTGCTTTAGGTTTAGAAAGATCATTTGCGAGTGCTTGAATAATTTGCTCTTCATTTTCACTGAGTAGCTTGTAGACTTGATGTAATTGATTTTTACGATATTCAATTGGCTTCGTTAGTCGTTCAGAGAATGATTTACGCAGCTGTTGAATGATCTATTTGAATTCGTAGAGGAACGTAATTGTTACGTTAATTAAGAATTGACTTTAATAAAGTTTATTGTTTTTTATACATGTACATTACCTGAGGAATCTCGTCAATTTTTGTATATATGCTATCGTCCATTTCGTATAAAGATTACGACAAAGGTTAACGTTAATTTATATCGTTACTGTCAATGGCTGAAAATGTTTACACAAATAACGATAACTATTGATGCCTTTATAAATCGTTATACATGTGCATGTACATGTAGATTATGTATAGCATGCAGTTTTTTATATGATCGACAACCGTATTGAATGGTTTTACATGTACATGTATATATGAATTTTATCCACTTCGCCCTTTTGTTATTTCTAAAAGCAACCTTCTAAGGAAAGAGTAATGATAGATATTTTCTACTCGTATTTTTTAATAATAGATTAATGCTGTAACAAAAAAATCTTTAAAACGATCTCAAAAAGTCAGTGATATTCTTGAACATGTAAAGATTGACGAAATTTGTGCTACAGATGGATTTTGTGCGATAATCGATATTACGTCCCTAGTTTATTTCATATAATGGATTATCACTACCGCTACTACATGTATTTCGCGTAGTACATGTACAGTCTGGTCCAAAAAAAACCGGAATTTTTTATTCGTTACTACGCCACGATCGTTACATTAAATCATGTGAAATTTTTTTTATTCGATGTTTAGAAATAGACAAATTTATTACACAAAATTAATATGAA